CTCCTCGTTCTCCATGACATCCTCGATCACCACTATTGATGAAACCTTATTTCGACCGGTTATCAAGGATCGGTTTCCTCCAGTCCCCTCGAATTGACTCGGCAAGTGACTTGATCAACACATAGCCGGACAGTACCCTGGCGCTCCGTTCGACATACCGTTACCGGCAATCGGAGCGACCCCGACCTTGGGTATCTGAGCACCGGCCTTTGATTGTCGTACATTGAGTATATTTGCAGATGAGATGATGTGAATGTGTAACCCCCCCATTTTTACCTTACTCTGTTCTCGCTGATGCTAGAGATGTATTCTGTGAACTAGGTCGGAGACCAGAAGGTTGATCACTCGGTATGTATCACGAAGATAACTCACCCAGGTGTTATAAAAACCGATCACCACTAGACACAACTCCCATCCAAGCAAAGCAGCGGGATTTTTATCCCTCATGGCCCAGAAAAGTATATATATCTATAAAGATAAAAAAGGAAACCCACCGGCTAGACAATAATGCGAGGAGCACTCGAAAGTGAGTGACTGGTGACAGGATAAACTCGGGTCGGCTCCCAACGCCCCGTGGTGTTGAAGACTGAAATGATAATAATAATATCAATAGGAAAAAAGAGGGGTACCCACCAGATCCAAACCGCAGGAGTTGTCAAAATAGCGAGTTATCCTGTCAACCGATAAAAGAAAGAAGAATGAGAAAAAGACGGAAAAAGAAAGAAAGAAGTAAAAAGAGAAAGGAATCGTACAGGTGATTCGGCGAGAGAATCACTCGCAGTCGAAGACCGGAATCGGGTAAGGGCACACGGGTGCTGCCTCCCTAACTGTAAACAGCACTCATGCACCTGGTCACTTCACACATAGTGCATTCATCTACCCACCAAAATCCTGGTCGGAGCGTCCGCGTTATGCAGCTCTGGGGCAACCTGTTGGCCCAGTGCCAAGTAAGCTGAGGATGCGACTCTGGAAAGGTGAGGGCGGAGACCCACCCCATTCCCCCTATTTACCTAACGCACAGCTTTCTTTTACTCTCTCACCCCGACTGCTGGCAGAATGATTGCATGGTTTGGTTGTGTGTTCTGGCTGTCTAAAACGGTTTTGTAAAGGAGGGCGCCATTGGAACACTGTGACGCGTGTGGTGGCAAGAACCTTTGTGAACCCCATTTGTGTGGTCTTGTCATTGGTTACGTACGAGCGGAAAAAGAACAGTTGAACAGTAGCATTCTTGACTGTCTCTTGTTTCAGACACAATCGAATACCGAGTAACAGACAACTACTCCGAGGACCTCCGTCCGTCACTGAGCAATAAACCTACCACCGGAACCCGGGCTACTCGAAAACCTCAGTCCCCAAGCCCGTAAATCCCGTGAAAGACCCGAAGGCATTTTTCTGTTTAGTGAATTTCTATAGACGATTCATCCCACACGCCGCTCAGCGACTGCAAACTCTTACGAACCTACTTCGCGGTAATCCACGTAACCTTATGCTTACGGATGCCGCACGAGTAGCATCTCAAGAGATAAAGACATTCAGCACAGGCCACGCTGCTTTTGCATCTTGTACCATCAGCCACGCTTAGTATAGCGGTTGATGCTTCAGACTTTGTACTTGGAGCGGTCTTGCAACAGCAGATTTCTGGTTTTCGGCAACCTCTTGAGTTTACTCTCGATGCCTTACACCTCCAGAAAACAAATATAGTGCTTTTGGACGCGAGCTGTTGCCAGCTTACAACGCCATCAGGCATTTCAGACATGTAGTCGAAGATCGAGATTTCACCCTTTTTACGGACCATAGGCCTCTTACATCTGAAGTTTATCGACGTTTACGGCGTGCCAACAAGTCTTCTTACGGATGTCAAATAGCGCGCGACCTCTTACTGTCTCGTTGCCCGAGGTAGGCAGAAGCAGTCGTGGTGATCGTAAACATTTATTGGCGTATCGTGGTCTGCATTCGCCACTCTACTTGTTTGCCGAATACTTTAAAATCGTAGGTTAGCCAGATGTGCCACAATTGTAAGAGGATCTGAACAAGATACAGGAGTGGACAGTTCAATTGGAACCCTCGATGAACCTAAACAAGTGCCAACAGCTGATTTCAATCGGTACAAATAGCGATTGGCGAAGTGCGATCACGGAAAGCTATCTACCTCTAACGAGCAAAGAGGACATTAGGGAGTTGGGTGCCGTCATAGACCAGACCTTCAAAACGACTCCTCAGTATCTGGCACCTGCGGCCAAAGTTAATAAGGCACTCCATCCCTTTTCGAGGGCTGTAGCCTTTCGAGAGAGAAAGTTGATGTTTCCATTGTACAAGGTTCTTGTGAAGCCACATCTAGAGTACTACGTTCAGGCCTGGGCGGCTTACTTGGTGAAATAAGTCAAGGTCCTGGAGGCGATACAAAGAATGTTCACGAGGGCCATGGAAGACATGAGGGGTGTTGCTTATAACAAGAGGCTCAGGAAGTTAAACCTGTTCTCCCTCAAGAGAATGAGAATGCGAGGGGACATCAAAGAGGCCTTCATGCAGCTGACCGGCTCTTTGGTGGCTTGGCCAGAATTTCCTTAGTAGTCGCATGTGTCGCGTTTCGGTATTGCAGTAGGAAGTTGTCAAGAAACGCCTCTAAGTCCGTAATTGATTTCGGATTCGTGGATGCCAGTGCACTCTTGACTGTTTTCACAAAATTCTCAGCCTGAAAATTAGAACAGGGATGTCTCGGGCCTGGACAAAAATGTCGACGTCCAATTCTACCGAGCAAAGCTTCCATCTCCGTGGCACCGAATTGAGGTCCATTGTCTGTGACGAGCACTTGCGGTATACCTTCCCGACTGAAGCACTTCCGGATAGCCTGGATCACAAGGGATTTTGTTGGCGTACTTGTCAGAAATACTTCGGGCCATGTTGAGTATGGATCAATGAGAACCAAGGCATAGTAGCTATTCAAAAATGGGCCACAGAAGCCCGCATGTACCCGTTGTCATGATGCATAACTTTCTGGCCGTGGAGTCTAGTTTTTCGGTTTCGCCCTTACTTTGTAAAGACACGCCTTGCAGTTCTTCGCAGTTGTGCGAATTTTTCATCCAAATCAGGCCACCAACACACTTGTCGAGCCAGAGATTTCATCTCCACTCCCAAATGGCCTTTGTGGAGGTCCTCTAAGACTGCTTTTCGGAACGGCGGAGGTATGATCAGTCGATCACCGCGGAAGAGAACACCGTCTGGTTGTACAGCCAACTGCTCCCGATGGATGTAGAACTGAGGATGTCCCTTCTTTATATCAGGAGGCCATCCTTTCGATAGGGCCGAAATAATCACTGAGTAGTATTGTTTTGTGTATTTTCTCAACGATTTCCTCGATATCCCTGATTGTTGGGTGACAAAATTAAGTTTCCCTGCGGTGACAAAGCGTGAGTACGTGGATAGGAAGTCTGCCTGTGGAATCGTCGTGCCTGGCCGATGTACAATATCATAATCGTAAACTGCCAGTGCAATACTCCATCCTTGAATCATGGCGGCTGGTGCTTTAGTGATAGACTTGTTGGGGTTGAATAAGAATTGTAGCATCTGATGATCCGTTACAATAGTAAAGTGCAGTCCAAACAAATACTTTTGCAGTCTCCGGACAGCCCAAAACTCCGCCAAGGCTTCTTTCTGGGTCTGCCAGTATCCCTTCTCCGCATGGTTGAGCAATCGGGAAATACAAATCACAGGAGGCCCTTCTTGCTCCAACACGGCACCAATGCCCACCTCACACATCTGTCACCAGTGTAATCGATTTCGATGGAGAAAATGATACCAGGAGTGAATGTTCAGTGATGTTCCATATCAATTCATGAAGGGTTCTTTCGTAGTCCACGGTTTATTTCCAGTCTGTAGCGGATTGCGTGACAAAGAAAGGTTGGGCCCTGGTGGCGAAATTAGGAATAAATAAATAATTGATGGTAGATTATTTTGATCTTTAGGGGATTCGATATCCACTAAAGGTTTGAATCGGTTGCGATCCGGTCGACATCCTTTGGAACGGACAGTGAATCCCAGGAATTCCAACTCGATCATTCCAAACATGCACTTAGATGGTTTGGTGCACACATTTTTCTCCATGAATCGCTCAAGAAGTTTCTTCAAATTGTTATCATGTACTTCTTTCGTTGTTTCAAACACAATCACATCGTTGTGATGTGTCATAACACCGCGTAATCAAGACACAACATTGTCTATTGTGGACTGAAAGATTCCGGATACATGCAAAAGGAACAGGATAAAATTGTACTGGAACAACCTTCACGGTATATTGATCGTCGTAAATGCCCACGAATCTGGATGCAATGAAATTTGAAGATAGGCATCTGCCAGATCAATTACAAAGAAGTACTTTAGTATTTGGAATAGTATTCAAAATGGGATTCCAGAATTCGAGCAATACCAATCCCCGAAATAGAACAACTTCAAATAGAATAGCACACGAACTTTATTCGAATCGTATACTATGCATATTCAATGCATTTAAAGTGTACAAGGAATTTCCAGGTCAGTGTCATACACCACAAGAACTAACAACCCTATAGGGGTTTCATGAGATCCTCCGTCTTCATGGTCGTCGCGGAGTTCTACCATCACTTTTCATCGCGACAACAATCGGAGTTGCCCATGTTAATGACGTCACCCGGAAAGTGAAACCAGTCTTCTCCATTCGATCGATCGTATTCAGCACACCTTCGCGATATCCATATGGTAAGACACTCCTTTTCGGGAATGCTGGCTCACCGTCGACCTGGAAATTGTGTCCTCCTATAAGCAATGAAAAGAAGTTAAATGAAAAGGAGGCGATTTGGACCGCATCCGGGTGTATTGCTTCGCAAACTACTCTGGAGAAACTGCCAAGTGCTTCAAGTTTTCAGACTGACAAGCAACCGCGAACAATGAACACACCCTCATCGAAGGTTCTCTATAGACATTTAGGGGCAGAACTATGTAGTGGTACCAACTGCGTTTCCCTCAGGATGTAGCATTCCTCTTTTATTCTCATTGTCTTACCGCAAGGAAGTCATTTCTTTCCGTATCTTCCGTTGTGGCTGGTTTACTCACAATGCAACCGTTGTACGTTTCGTGAAGTGTCTCATTCTGTTTTCGTACGAACAACCGTCTGCGACATGGTCGTATTACCTCGAAGTTTCGATAGGATCGCGTCTGCGCTCCAATCTCTTTATCTTTACCCAATGCCCTCATTTTCACGTATCCTATTCGCTCGGAGTCTGACAGACTTTAAGGGTCGTAGTATACACCGATCACGAAATACGAATCAAAAATCACGGACACCGCCGCAGCACTGAATTACACTGGTACTGGCAATGCAGTGTCCCACGTTATCGAGATGCGTGGAAACGGCCACAGGGATAGCAGTTCGCTTATTGAAAGAAATCATAGGGTTTAAATAATATGTACAGAACAAGCTCAATAGTCATCCAAGCTTCTGTGCATTGCGTACTAGTATTTTTGGCATGGTGCGACTTCTGTCTAGGCCGCATGGATTCTGATTGGTTGATACAATCGTCTATGGTTTGTAGTCCAGAAGCGCACTGCTGACGTTACCTGGGAAGCTTGACTCATCGCAGTTATCCAAAAACTTTAAGTTATCGCTCCACTGTTTCCGTCATCTCGTAGACTAGGATCACTACATAGACTCAGCACCCTGCCAGCAAAAGTGCTGACAGAGTGCGAACATGGCACATTTTCACCTCACTCTTACTCGAATTGAAAGAAAAATCTGTTAGAATGGTAATATTTAAAACCCTGAACGATTCTGCAGGCTGTAAGCGCTTGGAGAAAAATGCTTGGGGGTGCCAGCAACCATTTACCCGTTGTTGTAGCACTGCTCCAACGGCCACGTCAAAGG